GCCATCCATCTTGAAGTCTCAAACAGCTTGGCCACAGATTCTTTCCTCAACGCCTATCGTCGATTCGTCGGCCGTCGCGGCCCAGTGCGCCAATTACGATCAGATCAAGGTACAAACTTCATCGGCGCAATGAACGAACTCAAGCAAGCTGTCAAGGAATTGAACCACGAAAGGATCAGAGAAGAGTTGCTCATAACCAACTGCGATTGGATAGAGTTCAAACCGAACGTACCACATGCAAGCCACTTTGGCGGAGTATGGGAGCGCCAGATAAGATCAGTGAGAAACGTTTTGGCATCGCTACTAGAGAGCCACGGGATCCAACTTGATGACGAGTCTCTAAGAACCTTTATGGTGGAAGCGGAAGCTATCGTTAATTGCAGGCCACTCACCGTGAACACCATAAACTCCTCACGGAGTCCCGAGCCACTCACTCCCAACCATCTATTGACCATGAAGTCAAGGGTAATTATGCCTCCTCCCGGTGATTTCAAACGTGCAGATCTCTACCTGAGCAAGCGATGGCGTCGCGTCCAGTACTTGGCCAACGAATTTTGGAATCGATGGAGGAAGGAATTCTTGCAGTCGTTGCAGCCAAGGAAAAAATGGATTGCAGTCAGAAGAAACCTACAAGTGAACGATATCGTGATTGTGATAGACGAAAGTTTGCCAAGGAACCGCTGGAAGCTTGCTCGTGTCCACGAAACCTTTCCCAACGATGACGGTCTGGTCAGGAAAGTTAAGATGGCGATTGCTACAGAGTGCCTAGACGATTCAGGCAGACCTACAAAACCGACTGCCTACCTGGAAAGGCCCGTCCAGAAAGTAGTCCTATTACTGCCTTGCGATCGAGTTGCAGACCAGGGAATCCCCACCGAGGAGCCGCAACTTTAAAGGGGGCAATAATGCTCTCCGAACTCTCATAGCATAGAAAGATAATAAGTAAAGAACAATACATGACTGATTAGGTTTGTTTCGTTTCGTAAATTGTTGCCAATTTAGGGGAGCCATGTGACGTTTGTAAGGTCCGTTCATTGCGTGACAGAAATTAGATATGCGCAATAACGACAAGGGCAAGGCTCAGAGTTCGATTAAAACGATTTAAGGTCTCATCCTTGCGCTAAGAGGGAAAAGAGGTATGATGAAATATATTTGATTTAAGTTTGATCTTCCCATTTATTAAGTCATATGGAACACGAATCTTAACTGTAAATCGTCGATTGAAATTGTGTTGTTTCATGTTAATATTCGTTCCCACGTGGAGTTCATTGCATTGTCATCTTGTCTAGTATTTATCGAACAGTTCTTATAATTAATTTGTGTCCAATTAGTGTATTGCTACCGTTTTGTTACAGTTTTTACGTGGTATTAAACATTTTACGAGTCAAAACCGTGAACGTATGGTTTCCTAAAAGCTAACGTCAACTACAATATCTATACAGACATGTATATAATGGTCTTATTTGACTATAAAAAATTTTGGAGTCAGCACATATACCTGGCTTTTGTTTCACTCCAAACACCTCTGTTCTCATACACACCCCACCCTGGTGTGTTTGTGGCAAGAATCGCAGATATCTTGTTAACACTCCATAAACAACATGTTTCATGATTGAGTTTCGGTCATCATTTCCCAAAAAGAACTAAGATTGTAAAAATATAAAGCATTAAGTGTCACAAATATATGATGAAAATTACGGTAGGTTTCAATAAAATTAGTAACTAGGTTAAGGGAAAATGAGATTGTTACAAATGGCAGCCTGTCATGGGACCAAAAATTTCTGATTTGTGGGCATAATGTTCATGAAATTGTCATCGTGTGAAATACGCGTAAAAATAAGTTGTATTTTTGTCCTTAAATTGTTATGACTCAGGAACACTCTACCTTAACTTGTCCACCCTCCTTGTAGTCTGTCCAAATTGTACCAGCTGTGGATAATTGTAGTCTGTAAGTCTTTACCCACTGATCTGCTTGAGAATTCCCTTGTGTAGACACAGCACAGATGATATGAAGCGTCTGTAGATCAATCTGTAGATATGGATTAGTCTTGCTTGTTCCTGCACACCATGATGATCCTGATTTGTAGTTCAGTCGACCATTCTTAGCTGGTGTGCTGGCACTCTGAACAGATGAAGCAGTTATGCTACCATCTGAAATTTTGCTATTTCCCAAACCAAGATCCAAATCGATACAAGCCCCTATAACAATACATTAATTACAAAAAATTAAAAGATAAGGCGCAAAACATTATTAAAGATTAATCTAATTTCCCATGCAAGGTAAATGCATGAACACCCATGGATAAACTTCGCTTTTTTAGTCGCAAGAAAATCTATTCGGTACCTAGCTTCCTTGTTGCTGTCAATATACGTATGTTTAAGACGCATAGGTTTTGAATCTTCTAATCTGTGCTTTTTATAGTCCGCAGAGGCCAAGGACATTCGTTTTCAGCACTGACAAACACAACAACAACAATATCATACGACATTTCTCCCATCGGTTCCATTTATTCAGCCCGAAAAAGTACTTAGCTATTTACCTGGATACCTAGGCGTTTCATCATCGTTTAAATTATAAAAAAGAAATGAAGTAACTCGTTTCGAAATGAGATTACTCTATGTTGAATGTGGAAGGCTCAGTGACCACGACACGAAACATGGGTTTTGGTGGGAAAATCACGTCGCTTGCAAAGTTAATCACGTGATCAATAATTAGCAATTATTCGCGAAAGGCGAAGTGAATTTATTACACGACTCGGGCAGTCAGAGGGCCAATAACTAAAATCAACCAATCAAAATGCTCTATTGCCGGTCCAATATTCTCTAAGTATTGGACCGGGCACTGTCCCGAATGGTCCCGAATGATATTGCACTTGTGTCCCTTTGAACTTCAGTCGTATAATAAATCTCTTATTAACCAAGCTTGCTCGGGACCGTACTGGAAGAATATCGGCCCTCGGTCTTTTTTGTACGGACCTCGCTGCGCTCGGTCCGTACTGTCAAGACCTCGGGCCGATATTCTCCCAGTACGGCCCTCGCGCTTGGTTAATAAGATNGTCGAACGCTTGGTCATTCAGTTGTCCAGTTTGAACGTGTTTGGCTGCTCATTTGCTAAAAAACAATAACATGCTAAGTCACGACGACATACCTATAGACACACTCTGTCTACTTTCAGTTTAATTTGTTCTTGAAGTTCACTTCCCTTTTGATTTGGCTTGTGCTGGTTTACTGATGGTTTACCTTCATTGTACCTTTAGCTCACTGCCTTCAGCGATGAACTTACTTGTACGCCAAAATCGAAACTTGATAGGGTTTATTTTGAAATCAGTGCCAAATTTGCATAATGGCACAAACTTGTGAAGTTCAAGAAATTAGACAGCTCGTCAATTCAAGGAAAGGTTCGATACGGTGCGAAAACTGTTCGAAGTGAAAGTAATCGAAATTGTCGAAATTCTGTATTATCGCTTTTGAAGATGCCTTTCTTTGAGTAATACCCGAGTAGCTTGGAGACCGTCATACTTTTATCGACAACGAAGTGAGCTTGTTCAGTTTTCCGACAAAGGAGTGTTTCAAGTTACCGTTTGATAAATATCGTGAAATCAAAGTAGACAAGATTACGGTAATACAAAAACTGAAAAAGAAATGGATGGGGCGCTGCGACCTTAGCAGAAAGTAACTCATGCTGTTTGAAAAATTGCAAACACGATTCTCCGAAACTCATTCTGTAAATTTCAAAAGACTTGTCAGATGTTACAGCTTCAAAGAAAATGTGTAAACTTGAGATTTCGCGGTCGGACTCGACAGTTAATTAAAGGACGGGAAATGAAATATGGCTACTCCATCTCTTCGGAATCGCTGCCAAAAACAATTTGTGGATTCGTTGAGAACTTAACGCGCATGCTAAGACATAAGTGATGAAGAGAACTCACCGGAACTTACTGGAATAAGAAATGCGAAAAGAGCCACTCGGAAGAACAGCTCGGAATCAAACTCCAACATTTCGCCGCTGTTGTTACTTCATTACTTATTGGGAAACTGACACTAGCTGACACTAGTGTTTCGGTTGGATAACATTTTGCTTGTATTATCTCCTTTGAAAGGGCATCTGTCAAAATACAATTGAACTCATTTTGGTAGCCAATGTAAATTCTCGACGTTTCATCAGTGTGCTGAAAGACGACGATTTGACTAATCCGGTTGCGATACCGATATTGCAAAGAGAAGATGCACAGGCATTAAACAACGGAAGCAATGATAAACCATAACATAATTTCTGTGCATAAAGAAAACAAATGACCTGAGAAATTTGTATAACAATCGCTGATTTTTCTCACTGTTGTAACTCAGAATGTTGGGTCAGGAAGTCAAAATGATTTCCATGTTTTTTAATTGTTTCTTAGTGGGAACGCATTTGGTTATAACATAACCTTGTCAATCATCATTTGCCTGCTAAAACTATTAAAAATGATGAATAACAAATAATATAATAGTTTTTTCATAACATTTTTGACAGGCAAACTTATGGATCAATGGTCAAATGTCCTACGTGGAACTTTTTTTCTTCTTTTTTCGCCCGTGTATCTTGATAAAGTAAGGTCAGATTACGTAGGATTAAAACCTCTGCGATGGCCAATTTGAGTCTACGTTTTTGTCGAGGGTAGAGAGTCGAAGGATTCATGTCGAGGGCGAGGGTACAATGTGGAGGGTACCAGGGTGGAGAGTACCTTTTCCCCCCATTTTTTTTAATTAATAAAGAAAAATTAAACCAAGTTTGACCAAAATAATAAAAAATAATCAAAGAAAAAAAAACTTTTTTTTTTAAAGATACGGATTGCACACGTAGACATCAGATCTTTTTAGTATGTGGACATCGCTCCAAAAAATAGCGATTGGGGTAGGGGTAAGATAGTGAATAGCCTTTGGACATCTCAGTTCGTTTTTAAAAACCTGGTTAGTTTTCAAAGAATTAAATTAACAACCCACCGAAGGCTCATATTCGATCATAAATCTGGTTAGATTTCCCGTGTTATTACTGTAACATCACGAAGCGAAGAAATGTGTCAAAAAAAGCGAAGAAAAAGCTCAATGTCTTCACAAATGGTTTCACAACATGGGGTGTAATCCAGTTGTCAAGGAAACTCTCCTGACAAGTCCAAGCTCCAGACAATTAAATTTCCCGGGCAGAATCGGTCACATTTACTAAATTCTTCATTTTGCCGAGGGATACTATCGGAAAGCAACAGTAGCCACCATAAGCTTTTACGTAAGAAGTGACTGGCAGCAGCCCGGGCAAATTGGAAAACAAACCTTGATTAACTCCTTTGTTTGCGAAACATAAAATCGATGTTTGTGCTTTCCCATACTTCAAGTACAGCAGTGTTTTAGCTCGATTCGAGAATATGATGTATAAAAAAATCTGATGTGCACGTGCAATCTGTGTCTTAAAACCTGTTTCTAGTTGGGTACTGCTACTAGCTGAGCCGCGAAGCCAAATTTAAGGGTGAGGCTAATTTAAAAGGGTTCTTCATTCCCGTAAAGGAATCTGGACACATTTTGACTTGCGGGTGATGGACAAGTTAAGAAATGATCCTCGCATGTGAGCTTTAAGCCTGAAAGGACTCTGAAAAAAATTTGCAATTAACTGAGATCGGATTTACTGGAATTAAGACGTCTTAAAATCTACCTCGTTCCCAGCATTCTAATTACAGTAGCAACCAACTAGTAGCTTTATCTAAGTATAGGTTCAAATCTTATCGAAGAGAAAGTTGTTTTGGACTCTTTTCTGTAATTTCTTCAATTCTAGCTGGTCTGTGAAGATAATTTCTCTATTTGAACTTCATTTGGAGGTCAAATATTTCATTTAACAGTTGTAGGGGTCAAGAACAGATCAATATACTTTAAGCTGGCCGCTGTTGCCTTAAGCACGGTATAATGGACATTGTGGGTAAAGTTGAGTTATGATTTCTCGTTTCTCTCACCATTCTTTACTAGATACGAGTAAAAGACTGGTAATGTTCGATAAGGGACTCTCAACACAGATTGTCTGCAACGACTAGTCCGACTTGAAAAAATTGAAGTGTAATCGGACAAATATTTTTGCTCGTGCACTATTGAGCAAAACGTATCATGTGACCGAAGACTTCCCCCCCCCCGAAATAAAACTGGGTTATATCCGAGGATATACCACAAGAGATATTCCCCAATTTTCAAACCTTACATCCAATACGAAAAACTTTGCGCTTAAAATGTAATCATGAGAAAGAGTTGTGTGGTTGTTACAGAAGAGGGAACATGCATTTTTTTTCATGCATTTTTTTTATTGTTCATAAAATATTATCAGAGAACACTGAAAAGTGAACATCCCACGCCGTAAACTATGAGCTATTCGTAAATATTTTCCTGCGCCTTGAAAAAAGATATTTGAATGATAATAAATACAATAGCCTACATTTGGTGCAAAAATGAGCTTGCGTATTTGTTCTTGGACATTATCTGTTCAGAAACTATCAGCCTTTATTACTGAACAGTAATACTGCTTCAATCTACGGATTTCTGACAACTCCCTCTGGGTGATCATTTGGCAACAAACTACAACTTGGTACCAATAATTGATGAAAAATTCCCTTCTCCTTCCAGTTAAAGGCAAATAAATTACCTACTCAAGGTTTGTAAAAGCCTTGAAAGTGTTCGAAGGAGCTTGAATTTAAAAATTAGCTTCGAACTTGAACTTTATTTTTATTTAGACACGGTAAATCTATCAGATAAAATAATAACATTATTACAATCTATTATTACAATTACAGTCTTTTTTTAATCTATATAAACATGATCTAAAATTTAAAAGTGAAATAGAAAAAATAATTAAAAGAAATTCTGCTTTACATAGATGCCGAGTGCGTTTTGTCGATTCAGACGAAGAAATCGCGACAACCATTTCGAAAAGATTGAAGTGATTTTGCTTGCCGCAATACAGGGGACAAGCTATTCCAGATAACCGCACCGTTATAGCTAAAGCTATTTTTCTGGAAATTGGTGGGGGGCAATGGAACATCTAGTTTGTTTTCAGAGTTCCTTAGATTATAGGGAGGATCATATTTAGTGAAAAGAGAACCAAGATAGTCGGGCGCAAGACCATGTATAGATTTGTAGACCATGGTGGCTACTTGTATTTGTCGCTGAGTATCTAACCGTCTCCAGTTAAGTTGCCCAAAAAGAGGATCAGCGCTTATGTCATAACTGGAGAAGGTCAGAATAAGGGCAGCCAGGTTTTGAAACTTTTGGAGCTTATTCGAAAGACCTTTGTTACAATGCCCCAGACCTCGCTGCAGTAATTAAAGTACGGTTGAACTAAGACATTGAAAACGGACTCAAGCGTGGTTCGGTTAACAAAAGGCCTATAACGTTTAACTGCTCCAATGCCCGATGCTATTTCTTGGCTATTTTTTCAATTTGCATATTCCATGAAAGGTTTTCGTCTATATGCACACCCAGAGATTTAACCGAGCTAACTTGTTTAGTTATGTTACCACCTATGATTAGTTTAGGGGAAGTATCGTAAGTACCTATCCTTCGCCGCGATCCAATTAACATGAATTCAGTTTTAGATGAATTTAGAGTCAATTTGTTTGCAGTGAGCCATGTATTAACATTGGATAGGTCGTGATTTATAACATCATTGATCATTTCAATGTTGTTGCTGGCAAAGGTCAGGTGAGTATCGTTAGCATACATACGTGCAACTGAATTAGATAGGCAATTAGGAAGATCATTTATGTATAAAACAAAAAGTAAAGGTCCTAGAATCGTTCCTTGCGGAATTCCACGAGCGAGAACTTGACTAATTGAGAGCGAACCATTTACGAAACATTGTTGATTGCGATTATCTAGGTATGACCTAAACCATTCATAAGCGATACAGCGGATACCATATTCGAATAATTTAGAAGTAAGAATTGTATGGTCGACGGTGTCAAAAGCCATTTTTAGGTCGAGAACAACAACTGCATTTATACTGCCTTTATGAATGTTGAAGGCCCAATTGTTTGTGGCCTCCAACGAGGCAGTAACAGTTGAATGGAGCGAACGAAAACCAGATTGCTGGCTGGAAATCAAATTTTTTTCAGTGAGATAACCGTAAACCTGGTCGTAAATGATATGCTCAAACACCTTAGCTACTATAGGGACGATAAAAATTGGGCGATAATTGTTTAAGTCGGAGTGTTCTCCCTCTTTGAAAAGTGGAATAACCTTTGCGCATTTCCATTCCTGAGGGAAAACACCTGATCTGATGGACTGATTAAAAATAGAACACATAGGATCAGCTATCAGATCGGCGCACTCCCTAAGAAGTCGCGAAGATATCATATCTAAGCCTGTGGCTTTCGATTTACAAAGCTTAGACAAAAGTGAGAACACTTTAGAAGGATTAATACATTTTAACTCAAAACGTTTGTCAGTTCCCTCAAGGTAATGTAGGTGTGATGGACCATTATTAGAATAAATCTGGCTAGCAAGCTTGGGTCCAATAGAAGAAAAGTGATTGTTGAAGGCATCGGCCAGCTCAGGAGGGCCGTAAATAGAGTTACCGTTGCTTTTGATTTCTTNTTTTTCGTAACATGCAGCGATATTTTAAGTTGTACATAACAAGGATAAATCAGTCTTGTTTTGAAGCACCAAGTTTTATTCGAATCAGGAGCTTTCACGTGTGAGATTGACGTCATTAATTTAGACAAGTCCCTGACCTTTGGAAGGCCCTAAAACTAAGCCAAACGGAGTCTTCCCAAAACACGCTGTTTTTTTCTGTTTTACTGTTGATGATATGAAATTTCTGACTGCGTGTCTAATGCGTCTTTGGATAATATATTCCAACTAGCTATTTAATTTAGAGTTCCACTTTACGTTGGAAACAAAACACATGACAATTTTCACAGAGCAATCTTCTTTCAAGGCCTTCTGTTTACCTAATCGCGAGGAGTAGAGACAAAATGCCGAGGCACAGAGAAGTATCGTAGCCACGCGAAAAATACGAAGAT